TTCTCTCACCTTTGCTGTTCCCTTCTTCTCTGTTTAGATGCATGGCTGTTGCTTTTTTCAGTAAAGCTGTATTCTTCTATTTTTATTTTTAAGGAGTAGCCTTCGTGTTTTAAACTCCAATTCCAATTTTGCTTTTTAGTTCTTGCTTTTTATTGTCTTGCTACTCAACGAGTGCGCGTGGACGCGTGCGTACTTGAGTGTCCTACCCGTATTACGCTCGAGCAGGTAGGTAATGTTGGTGCCTGAATCTATTTAGTATCTCTCTCGCGCTCTCTCGTTTTTTTTTTTTTTTATCTCTGTCTCTCCAGTTCAGAGGCGCTCAAAAGGGATGGTCGCAATAAGATTGCAGGGAGGAGATGGGCAGACGGCAGACGGGCGGGGTGACGTGAAAGCAGTCCGTGCAAAGTACTCGCAGCTGGAGTCAAAATCCGTGTTCGGGCTATGGTTCCCGCCAGCTGATCGAACCATACACTTGAATGTTGCCTATTATTTGAAGAGACTCCACGTCACCAAATTGTACGCTCCTCGTTCGACCTAGTTAGATGTTAGTCTTCAATCACCATCCCTATCCTCACCTCAATAAAGATTATCATTATAATCCCTTTATTTCATAAGCATGTCCTTTGAGAATTCCAGAAACCGTCTCAGATGGCTAATACATATAGAGGGGGCGAGAGTCAGAGAGCCTAGCCAGCCAGGACAAATGGAGGGGACAGAGGGATTGATTCACCACAAAAAGAGACCTGGAAATGTGTGTGCCTTTGTGGCCTCATAATTAACCAAACTGGAAATGTGCGAATAGGTGTCTGTAGATGTGTAGTCTCAGCCTGGTCAGGTTGGTAGTCTATGGGCGACAGGTTGTCAGTGACTCCCAACTGCAGGTAGCAAATTAATTTGGGGTTGTGCGTGAGAAACGGTTGCATTTTCTCGCGCGCACCTGCTGTAGCCTACCATAGCTCCTTCACATTTTTTGTGTGATAAGCGTTGGTTCATCCTCGCTTCCTTGCGTGAGAAAGAGCGTGTTATTTGTAACACTCAATCTGTGTTCCCCGTAGGACTGTTATAGCCAATACGAAAAGTTGATTTACTCACCGCTCACGTCCACCAGTAGCAACATGACTGACATGGCTCACCAGCGGTCTCTAGTGTTGTAAAACAACGAATGGCATACAGTACAATCATTTTTATGTTATAAAGGCCTATTCAAGTTTGGTGTAGACTAATTTTATATACGCATCTTCATTTGACCACATGCCAAGTATTTAATGATGTAGGCTATCAATTACGCATTTAATTGCTATTGATAATAGGCTAGCCCATATAAAATTGAGAAACATTCTTACTCTAATTTTAAATTCAAGATGTTTTAAACAAAATGTGCTAAAGCAACAGGGTTGTAGGCCCATCTTCCATTCCTTAACCTTGAGTACTCAATAATAATGGAGGCCAATGACACCTCCATGAGATTGGAGCTGATATGCTGGCCCTTGGAGTGATGTTGGCCATGTACATCTTCCTGTCTCATTGTAAGCCTTTTGGCTGCAAGATATTGCTTTCCCTGTCCCAGAACTCAGTTGTCTGTCTGGCACCCATCTCTCACTGACATACACTGAGTGTACAAATCATTAGGAACACCTTCCTAATATTGAGTTGCACCCCCTTTTGTCCTCAGAACAATTCGTCAGGGCATTGACTTTACAAGGTGTCGAAATCGTTCCACAGTGATGCTGGCCCACGTTGACTCCAATGCTTCCCACAGTTGTGTCAAGTTGGCTGGATGTCCTTTGGGTGGTGGACCATTCTTGAGACACACGAGAAACTGTTGAGCATGAAAAACCCAGCAATTTTGCAGTTCTTGAGACACTCAACACACTCGCTTTCAGATGTTTTTTTTATGCCACCTGTCAGAGTAAATGCCATTCTGGTTCATTTGTTCTGTTGTATTGTTAGTAAATGTTAAGGTTGAACACTGAAACATTTGTTGCTTTAATGAGGCTTACACATGTGTATTAGTTCCTCAAGAGCCTATTCATATCCCATTGTTGGGATAGCTACCACTTTAGGGAAAGGGGATACCTAATCAGTTGCACAACTGAATGCATTCAACTGAAATGTGTCTTCTGCATTTAACCCAAACCCTCTGAATCAGAGAGGTCCGGGGGACTGCCTTAATCTCCATCCATGTCATCAGTGCCCAGGGAGCAATTGTTGCTGGGGATTAACTGCCTTGCTCAAGGGCAGAATAGCAGATTTTTCCACCTCGCCAACTCTGGGATTCAAACCAGCAACCTTTCGGTTAGTGGCCCATCACTCTTAACACCCTAGGCTACCTGTCGCCATTATAATGTTATTCACTTTAGATTAAAATATGTAATTTGCAACAATATTCAAGAATCATTTTATTTTGCATTGTACAAACTTAATATGATGAACAGGAATGACATTTACCCTCATGGGTGGCCAAACATAACTATTTTAAAGCCACGCCCCTAATAGGCCACGCCTCCTTAAAATAACCTAGGATTACATAAAAAAAGACCCAGCATTAACGTGAATACAAACCCAACTGATGGTTGAATTAACCCATGTTTGGTAATCCAAACAACCCAACATGTTGGGTTATTAATGCAACCCAACTGGCTGGGTCAAAATAACCCAGCGTGTGGTCTGTCCAATATTTACCCAGCGCAGGGTTACCAAATAACCCAAATTGGGTTGTTTTTAACCCAGCATTTTTTTGAGTGTAGGTTACAGCCCACTAAGAGCTACACTCTGGATCTCAAACAAATACTCCAAAACCCCTCTCTGCATCTCTCTCTCTCTCTCTCTCTCTCTCATCTCTGACATGAATATTCATTAGCCTGTCACACTGTCGCCTCTGAACTCAAGGCGACTCTTTCATCAACGCAACTTCAGCAATGCTTTGATCCTCAAGGGTTTTCATTGACATTATGTCATTTTGCAGTCACCAGCTTGCCTAAAACCAATCTGCTGGGGGACAAAAAAGCTAATGTAGACCTATAAAGTGCAGTTTTCTAAAATGTTATGTAAATTTTACAGTAAATTAATTGTTGATGAGCCAGTGCCATTTACTGTACTGTAGATTGCAAATAATGACTACAGAACCGTAATAGCTTTAGATCGCTTAGCTATATACAGTAGATATTCCTATACATTTCAGCCATACTTGCTGGTACAATTTCTTCCACTTTCATAGCCCTGAGACACAATTCCTGCTTGTTATACACCATCAAGGTAGAGGTCATTTCATGAGCCATTTACACACTATACTCTCCCATTCCCCTGGAACAGAGTGAATAATATAGCTATTGCAATGCCCCTTGAGAATGTAATTTCTCAACATATGAAATGTCATAGTAAATAAGCTAATTGATCACTAGGAAGGCAATTTAAGTCTTATGAAAGCAAAATGTATGGCACTGCCTGTGACAGTAGGCCTACGATAAATTGGATCTAGATTGATATGATGAAATTGATCTAAAGGATGGTGGGGCATCTAAATCCCCTCTGGTCTGTGTGTGTTTGACAGTCCTTGGCAGTAGATTCTCACCCTCCAGGCACTCACTTCTTTTGTAATCAATGCCCTGATTTGGTTGAGTGCCTCGATCTCCCAATCTCCCCATCTCTCATCTCTCCCTCTCACCCTCTCACCCTCTCACCCTCTCACCCTCTCACCCTCTCACCCTCTCACCCTCTCACCCTCCCTCTGCCTTATCGGTTTACCTTGTTCCTTGGCTCCACCCTGTTTTAGCCATATTCACCTGTGCAGCCTACATAGTACATAATAATAACATATTAGAATGATTGTTAATAATTAATGATATCAATAATAATCATAGTACAAACATAACATCTCCTATGATTATTGTAATTGAATTAAATTCTATGAAATGTAGTGTACATTAAATGCATGCCAGCTTGCACTGGCTCCATCTACTGGACATATGATAACACTGTAATAACCGCATAACAACGAAGGTGTAAATAATGTGTCCTCTATACACAGTGTTTCTGCTTACTTGTTTTCAAATGGGATCTGAGTGGTATCCATGGGAGTGGAGAAAGACTAACACTGCAGGTGGGAAATGGATCTCCTCCAAAGGAGAAAATGCCAAGAAAGCAACAGGACACAAGGAAAAATGGCCAGGACAAATAGCCATGCCCATGTGTACTAGAGAATCTGGCTATTGGATGGGCACATAACAATGGTTCCTTAGGAATGAGACAGGCTGACAGAGACAGCGAGATACTCAGATAGATTAATTTGGTGAAGCAAATGCATGAAACAATCCCTCCATTGTTTCCTTGGTTACCACAGTCCAGGGGGCCTCTTCAGATTTCCTTGAGACTTGTTACGGTAGAATGAGGACAAACCACACACCAAAGACTGTCACACAAATAGAGAGAAAGAATCATAAGGCAACACAGGTAGCACAATCCCATTCATTTTTTTCAGACAACAATATGTACGAGAGGAATACATTTTTTCTGTTCTTATTTTACCTCACATGAATAATAAAATAGCTGTCAGTCTGTTTTACACCTTCAGTGCACATCCATATTCACGACTCAAACTTATAACCCAACACCCACCATATCTACAGGGGAGGGAAGAGGGGTGGTGACATAAAAGTGCTTGGACGTGCATGTGTCCTCCTGAGGAGAGGGAATAACGGTCCAGTGAAAACCAGTACAATATATAGAATCTAGGTAACTACATTTATGATACAGGGTCACACAGGGCCTACAAATGTACCTTTCAGTAATGATAATGGCAATGGGCTTGCACAAATGTCAAGGGTGGGTTTTTATCTTTTTGATTAGATGACTTGACTCTGATTGGTTGAGTGCTGTGAGTGAAGGGCCACTCTCAGAACCCTGGGGTGTATTCATATACCAGATTCTGTTGCAAAACGTTTTGCAACAGAAACCGTTTACTCCAAATGGAAAACATTTTGCAACGAAAATGAGAGTTTCTATTGGACAAATTCAGGCAGGTCCCTGAACTGACATCTAGTCACAAAATGGTGCCAACATGGTGGCTGGGCAGCTAATTGTGTTTGGTGTGTAATCACCAATGTCACCAACCAGCTACGTTTGCTGCAGGCAATGTTGACTCTATCTAGGCACACAGCTTGATTACATCGTTTCCAACATCTGCCAACATCTTATGTTATATCTTTGGTAATCCTGGATACACCCCAGATCATCTCTTAGCATCACTGTGATGAAATACTCAATGCATTCTTGGAAGAAGAATGCAATTCTAAAGCTTCTTTATGGACGGAGAGGGAAACACAATTTGGAAAGAGGTACAGAAGCTGTGCAAAACAGCCACAAAACTACAATAAAACAGTATCAATACAGAGAGAATATATTACAGTACAGTCATATTGAGACAGATATATACTGAGTTAACATGATTGAACAGATTTTTATATCATGATAGCAACATCTTAGTAAAAACAATAGAGAGAATTCCATGACTAAACCTTGATAAAGCACAACTAAAAGTACACTTGAAATGATATTGAATGTTTATCATACAATTCTAAATCAGACCTAAATTCAAATATTTACAGTAATTCATCTCACGTAGGGGATGTAAAAAGGATGACCTATCAGAACACCCTCAACAGGTGCAGAGGACATACTCTGGTCTAGAACACACACACTGTTCTGTCTGACCCTGACTAACTCCTTTAGGCCTTAGGCTAATGTGGGCTGTGTAGGAGAGGTAGGTGCCAGATTACCTGGCTCCAATGTGGGCTGTGTCTGAGAGGTAGGTGCCAGATTACCTGGCTCCAATGTGGGCTGTGTCTGAGAGGTAGGTGCCAGATTACCTGGCTCCAATGTGGGCTGTGTCTGAGAGGAAGGTACCAGATTACCTGGCTCCAGTGTGGGCTGTGCAGGAGAGGAAAGAGCCAGATTACCTGGCTCCAATGTGGGCTGTGTCTGAGAGGTAGGTGCCAGATTACCTGGCTCCAATGTGAGCTGTGCAGGAGAGGAAAGTGCAAGACTAGTTGTTCCGTTGAGGCAGGAAGCTGAGAAGGAACTCTCCCACTCCCAGGAAGTAGACCACCTGTGCAATGCCAAAGAGCGGAGCAATGACCAGAGCACGGCAGTACGCCCCCTTCAGGAAAGAAGAGGGACCCTCTTGGTGCAGAATCTTCCTGTTAGACAAGAGGGTCGTGATATAGGGGTGTATCTATATTCTAGCCTAAAATGCCTTCTCCATTTATTTCATAGTACCAGTAGATGTTGTAATGTTCTTCCATCATATAACATGGATATAATCGATCAGAGAATGCCTGTCATCATGTTTCTTTCTTCATAGGTCTGCTGTTCACATTTTAGGGAAAGGTGGATTAGGTCGGTTGAACTCACAGACACCAAAACCAGGAGGGAAGCAGTGGAAGAGTTAGAGGAAGGAGAGGTTACCTGATGCAGTCTGTCACTCCGCTGTAGGTGTCCTCCCGACTTCCCCGTGTCATGGTCTGAATTCTGGTCTTAATCACTGTAACACACATACTGTATCAATTGGCTTACAGGGCACACGGCAGGCAGAATACACACTCATACCTGTATACACACTCGACGGTCCTTACCATCCACTGGATTAACTGCCACAGCAGCTGTACTGCCAGCGATGCAGCCTGATGCAAAGGACACATAGAAGGGAGCGGGGCCATCAGCCCCACGGCCACCCAGGCTGTTCAGATTGGCAAACAGGGGGAAGTAGATTATGGAGAATGGCACGTCCCTAAGAGAACAGAGGAATGGAACAACAAATATGTATCATCTTCATTTGTGTATGTTCTTGCAAGATTGCCATTGTGTCTCTGTGCAGATGTACCTCAGCAGTGTGGCCCCCAGGCCCTTGTAGAGCCCTGCGATGCCCTGGCTCCTCAGCAGCTCCCGGGTGAGCTGCATGGCTGTATGGGTCCTCACCTCCACTGGGCCCCCAGGGGCCCCACCTGCAGCCTGGGGCATCAGCTTCCTCTGAGCCTCTACAAGTGTCATAACACACACAGCAACATCAGTATCATCAGTGTGACATCATCAACCAGGGACAGGGAAGCAGCAATGCCTCAGGAGAAGTTGGCAAACAAAATATACATTTGGGGAGTCACAGGAACACAAGGAAGAGTCACAAATGTGTTCAAGCATTACAATAACTATTGGTACATTGACACAATAACAATGCTGGTTCTTACTAGTTCTAACGGATCAGATCTCTATGATCTGTTAGTGTTTGTTTGGCTGACAATACACTGGTTAGTCATAAAACATTGACTGGGAACAGGGGAACATACAACCTGCTCTCTCCTTCTTCTACCCATCTCTCACCTATCCGCCCTGCATCCTGTAGCTGGATCTTTAGCATCTCCATGGGAGTGGTGACGATGACCTGCATCAAGAGATGGAGAGACAAAGAGACAAAGAGATGGAGAGACAGAGTGTGACTTAGTTTCAGAAGAGTTCAAAACCCCAGGCAGACACACTACTAGTGTGCATAACTACTGTTGAGCCACAAGGCTGTAGTAGAGAGCTGTCTGAGGCTGATACCCTGGCTGAGCTTACCTGACATGTACCAGCACCACAACCCGCCAGCATCTCCCTCAGCAGGGTGAGCTTCTGACTGTGAGAGAGAAGAAATGTCATAATTATTTTGGTTCAATTACTTCTTTCTCTGGATGGTCTGGTGCTATCTCAGGGGTTTTACATACATTAAACAAAACGCACACAACATAAATGCATCATGCTAACTCCCTGTTTCTATACCCGGTGGCGTTCAGCAGGTCAGCCACCAGGGGGAGACTCGTCGAGGCCGGGTGGGCATCCCGAACGAGATCCTGACAGACTAAGGTACAGAGTTTATGTCCCGCCTCATGAAAGAGTTGTGTGCCCTCATGCAGATCAAGCAGATCCGGACCTCCGTTTTTCACCCGCAGACAGATGGGCTCGTCGAGCGCTTTAATAAAACGCTCAAACAGATGCTACGGAAGGTCATCGAGCAGGACGGGAAGAACTGGGACCAGCTGCTACCCCACCTAATGTTCTCAATCCGAGAAATACCCCAATCCTCCACTGGGTTTTCCCCGTTTGAACTCCTCTACGGGAGGAGGCCCCGTGGCCTACTGGACCTCGCCAAGGAGGTGTGGAAAGCCCAACCGACCCCCTTACGCAGCGTGGTAGAGCACGTGGAGACGATGCGGGAGCAGATGACAGCCATACGGCCAGTCGTGAGGGAACATATGGAGAAGGCCCAACGCGCCCAAGCCCAGGTCTACAATCGGGGAGCCCAGCCCAGAGAATTCCAGGTGGGAGACAGAGTGTTGGTGTTGATCCCCATAGCCGAAAGTAAGTTCCTGGCCACATGGCATGGACCATACGAGGTGGTCGAGAAACTGGGACCTGTCAACTACCACGTACGGCAACCGGGGAGACGGAAACCTCAACAGATTTACCACGTGAACCTGTTGAAGAAGTGGCACGAGAGGACAGCCTTGGCCGTGTTATGGTCGGGACCCAGGACACCAACGGTACCAGTGGTGGTCCCGAGCAGTGAGGACCTCGACCCGGCCCAGAAGCAAGAGCTCCGGGAGCTTGTCGATCGGAACACGCCGGTGTTCTCCGAGAAGCCGGGCTGCACGACCCTCATTGAACACCACCGGGGAAACGGTAAGAAAGAGGCCGTATTGAATTCCGGAGGCCCGACGGAAGGCCATGAAAGAAGTGGAGGCTATGCTGAGGATGGGGGTCAATGAAGAGACCCACAGTGCATGGTGCAGCCCCATTGTGTTGGTGCCCAAACCGGACAGTAGCCTCCGCTTCTGTAATGATTTCCGGGGTGTGAACGACATAAGCGTATTCGATGCCTACCCCATGCCGAGGGTGGACGAGCTAATCGACCGATTGGGAAAGGCCCAGTACATCAGCACCATTGACCTGACCAAAGGATATTGGCAGGTACCATTGGCAGCCTCCTCCCGGGAGAAGACGGCGTTCTCGACACCAGACGGTCTGTACCAGTACCGGGTGCTCCCGTTCGGTCTCCACGGAGCCCCGCCCACATTCCAGCGACTGATGAACAGAGTGCTTCGACCCCACCAGCAGTACGCAGCGGCCTATCTGGATGATATTATCATCCACAGCCAAGGTTGGGAGGAGTACCTGACGCGCCTCCAGGCAAGCCGGGTTGACCGCAAACCCCAAGAAATGCAAGCTAGGGTTCGAGGAGGTGGAGTACCTGGGGTATTTGATCGGACGGGGGAACGTCAAGCCCCAGGAGAGGAAGGTTCACGCGGTACGTGACTGGCCCGTTCCACGCACCAAGACACAGGTCAAGTCCTTCCTGGGACTGGCAGGATACTATAGCCGGTTTATCCCCAACTTTGGGCTATAGCTTCCCCCCTTACCGATCTAACCAGGGCCCGCCTCCCGAAAACAGTGAAATGGACGTACGAGACAGAAGCAGCGTTCAGCCGTCTGAAGGAAGCGCTGTGCTCCCATCCGATTCTCGTAACGCCAGATTTCCAGGTGCCGATGGTGGTCCAGACGGATGCAGGTGATACGGGACAAGGGGCCGTTCTGTCCCAGATACACGATGGGGAGGAGAACCCCATTATGTACATCAGCCGAAAGCTGATACAGAGAGAATAAAAATACTAAATTGTTGAGAAAGAGTGTCTGGCGGTAAAGTGGGTGCTAGACACTCTCAAGTATTACCTGATAGGTACCCACTTCACCCTGGTCATGGACCATGCTCCCCTGGCCAGGGGTAAAGACACAAACAATCGGGTCACCAGGTGGTTCTTGTCCCTTCAACGCTTCTCTTTTTCTGTTGTGCACAGGTCAGGGGCGAAGCATGGAAACGCGGATGCCCTACCGAGAAGGGAGACAGACGTTGCACTGAAGACCGTCCCCTCCCCGACATAGCTAAGGGAGGGGTGTTGCGTACAGCAGGTCAGCCACCAGGGGGAGACTCGTCGAGGCCTGGTAACAGATGGAGTTTACATCACGAGGCGGTGGCTCCATCTGCTGGACGTGCCAGGTCTTGACGGGCTCCCCAGACAGGACTAATTGGGGCTGATTGGGAGCTGGTGAGTAATTAAGGGCGGATTGCTCACCAGCTGTGCAAGGCCCATAAAGCTGCCAGAAGGGCAGCACATGAGAGAGGACTGGGGGGAATAAGGTAACTTCCATGGAGTTGGAGACGGTCTCATGGGGGAGACCTAACCTTTTCTTTTGATTATTTTATTAATAAACACCCTTGAAACCGAGCTACTCATACTCTGTCTGTGTCTGATCTGTGTAAACGTTTTGACCCAACCCCCTGATCTGCCACAACACATAGGACAAGACTATAAACATGCATAAAACAATAAACATACCATTAGTGATACACATATAGAAACATTTAGAAACACACACACACATACTCACACAGTCTTAGAAACATGTTAATAATTCACCAGTGCGCTAGCGCAGGTCACTCAATAATTTATCAGCCATGTTCTTGGTCGCCATGGAAGTGTTGAGGGACGCTAAAGATAGCCCAGGTATGTCATGCGGATAATGCTGCAGGGGCCTATGGGATTGGTCCTATCATCCATGCTGTATGTTTACAAAATATTTATACCTCTAATGCATTACCACTGGATCAAAGCACATAGTGAAGATATTATTAGAATCCTGAAGTGATATTTATATCAAATCCAAACAAGAAGTTAGTTAAGCTGATATAGTATACACTACATCTTTCAAGTACATCAATTCAAGGAGATCAGAGTGGGCAAGAGGTTGATGTGCCAGTCAGTTATGACTGGTGTATGATAGTATTTGACAGGCAGGTATTTGAAAGAGGCCTCTGAGCCCTACTCACCCATCCTTGGACAGGTGCTGTCTAAAGAAGTCATTGGCAGCTAGTTTGATGGCCTTCTCTGGAGTGACCAGAGTCAGGTTCACAGCAGCACCTAATGGTCAGATAAATAGAGAGACACAGAGTAATAAACAAAGAACATGCTCAAACCTGTGCACACACACACACACACACACACACACAGAGACAGACTATTTTGTCCTACCTCTGTACATGCCAAAGTATCCTTCTGATCGGATGGTCTTGATAAGGCAATCTGACCTGTGTAGTGAACACAGAAGATTACTGTGCAAAGACCTCAGAGAATCAACCAGAGGTAAGCAGATACTACAAGTGAATAGTTTGTTTTAGAATTTCTAAATGAGACTGGTTAAAAGTGTGTGTTGAACAGCATTGTACATACATGCTGGTGTAGAGACGGGAACCATTTTGCTGGTTCTGGAGACGGGTCTTGGCCAGGTCAATAGGAAATACACATGTCACACCAATCAGTCCAGCAATTCCCCCATTGATCAATTTGGCAGGTAAACTGAGAGGGAGAGAAAGAGAGAAGGGTGAGAAGGGATGAAAAAGGTTAGAATTACCAATTAATAACAAAAGAGAATAACAAAATTGTGGAGGAATTAGTTCAAGATTCAACCTAAAACATCAATTAAAACATTTGATAAAACCCTCTCAGATTCTTCTGTTTCCATCTAAATGTCCTTATCCGCACTTACCTGATCTGCTTGTCAGCCATCTATCTGAGACACAGTTACTCTGGCAGTTCCTCTGTCTGTGTATCTCTAAATGTGATATTCACCTCCGTGTTTAAGGAAAACAGTGGATTGGTCGAAGATAGATGGAGAATACCTCGGTCAACCAGCCAATGTTCAACCGTCAGTTTCAGTCAGTCAGTCCGTCCGTCAGTCAAGTAATTGGCCAGCTATGGAGGGGAACTGGAAAAGAACAGATTACAAATCCATATCAAAACAGTAATCTGACCCTCAGTTAAAGCTTTGAGAAACATCTATGCATGGCAGGTACTTGGCTTATCCCTGGGCATAATAGCATTTACCTCAATGTTGTGTTGGCTGGCTACCTGAAATGAAGAGTGTTCATTCATTGAGCCATGTTTTCAGAAGAAGCAGAAAGTACATCCACCCTCCTTCTGGACCAATCACATCAATCCTTCCCCTCCACCCCTCCCTCAACCCTAATTCTAACCTCCACTCCTTCTTCGATTTCCTCTACTCCTACTCCTCCCAAATCTCTCCTGATTTGTGTGTGTGTGTGTGTGTACATTGTATTTGAATGGAGCAAGAGAAAGCAGAGAAAGAGAGAGGGAGATGGGACATTCAATACTGTGATTAGAAATATGGGTGTATATCTGTTTGAGGTCTAGTCTGTCAGCTCACGGCACTCCTTCTCTCTTTGCAGGTTTGTAACAATATACCTTTGACCGAACATTTTGCTTTGTTGTCCTTATAAAAGGATCTACTGTGCTATGTGCTATGTGTGTGTGTGTGTGTGTGTGTGGTAGGGAGGGGGGGGGGGACAAAACCTTGGTCATAGAATAGTACAGAAGAGGAGCAACAGGAGTGGTCTGTCTACTCAATGTCTGCTTTTCATTTATATCTACAGTATGAGCTCATGTATTTTTCATTGCCAGGAACGGATTACATGTGGAAATGGAGAGACTTACCACATCTAGTTTGTTAATAAATCATGAATGAATACATCCACATAACACTATACCCTTCCCACCACCTATCTGCCATGCACGTTCAGATTTTAGTGTGATTGTCAGCTAAACTTGACTTAACGTAGTTCACCCATTAACTACATATCATTGCACACTCAGTGAACCTTCAACATACCTGTATTTACAGCTCTGGAAAAAATTAAGAGACCACTGAAAATTTTTCTTAAATCAGCATCACTACATGTATGACAGCCATTCCATTCCAGTGTCTGTTGAATTCCAACACAGGCACACCTCATTCTACTGAATTAGGTACTGATTAGGTGATCACCTGAACCAAATCTTATTTAACGAGGAAAAGTATAAAAACCACTGCTGTGGTCATCACTATCCTCTTGCAATAGGACCAGCTGGATGGCAAAAACAGTGCTAATAGTACCTCAAAAGTAATATTTATCAAAAAATAACTATTGACCATGCCAAAAGAGTTGAAAAGGAACGTTTTGAGTGAGGAAAAGAAGGGTTCAATTCTGGCTTTACTGGCAGAGGGATACAGTGAGCGTTAGGTTGCTTCCATCCTTAAAATTTCAAAGACTGCGGTTCATAAGAACAAGGTCAAGCAGCAGACATTGGGGACAACAAAGCTACAGACCGGCAGAGGGCGAAAACGACTCTCTACTGACCGGGATGACCGCCAACTCATTCGAATGTCACTCAACAACCGTAGGATGACATCAAGTGACCTACAAAAAGAATGGCAAACGGCAGCTGGAGTGAAGTGCACGGCGAGGGGCAGGGCTGAAGTCGTGCAAAGCTAGAAAAAAATCCCTTCATCAATGAGAAGCAAAGAAGAGCCAGGCTGAGGTTTGCAAAATACCATAAGGATTGGACTGTAGAGGACTGGAGTAAGGTCATCTTCTCTGATGAGTCCAATTTTCAGCTTTGCCCAACACCTGGTCATCTAATGGTTAAACGGAGACCTGGAGAGGTCTACAAGCCACAGTGTCTCGCACCCACTGTGAAATTTGGTGGAGGATCGGTGATGATCTGGGGGTGCTTCAGAAAGGCTGGAATCGGGCAGATTTGTCTTTGTGAAGGACGCATGAATCAAGCCACGTACAAGGTTGTCCTGGAAGAAAACTTGCTTCCTTTTGCTCTGACATTGTTCCCCAACTCTGAGGATTGGTTTTTCCAGCAGGACAATGCGCCATGCCACACAGCCAGGTCAATCAAGGTGTGGATGGAGGACCACCAGATCAAGACCCTGTCATGGCCAGCCCAATCTCCAGACCTGAACCCCATTGAAAACTTCTGGAATGTGATCAAGAGGAAGATGGATGGTCACAAGCCATCAAACAAAGTCGAGCTGCTTGAATCTTTGCGCCAGGAGTGGCATAAAGTCACCCAACATCAATGTGAAAGACTGGTGGAGAGCATGCCAAGACGCATGAAAGCTGTGATTGAAAATCAGGGTTATTCCACCAAATATTGATTTCTGAAATCTTCCTAAGTTAAAACATTAGTATTGTGTTGTTTAAAAATGAACATGAACTTATTTTCTTTGCATTATTCGAGGTCTGACAACACTGCATAATTTTTTTTATTTTGACCAGTTGTCATTTTCTGCAAATAAATGCTCTAAATGACAATATTTTTATTTGGAATTTGGGAGAAATGTTGTCAGTAGTTTATAGAATAAAACAAAAATGTTAATTTCACCCAAAAACATACATATAAATAGTAAAACCAGAGAAACTTATATTTTTGCAGTGGTCTCTTAATTTTTTCCAGAGATGTATATATGTGCTCCCGAGTGGTTCAACGGTCTAAGGCACTGCATCTCAGTGCTTGAGGCGTCACTACAGACCCCCTGGTTCGATTCCAGGCTGTATCACAACCGGCCGTGATTGGGAGTCCCATAGGGCGGCGCACAATTGGCCCAGCGTCGTCCGGGTTTGGCCGGTGTAGGCCGTCATTGTAAATAAGAATTTGTTCTTAACTGACTTGCCTAGTTAAATAAAGATTTTAAAAAATAAAAATACACAGATCAGGTGATCAAGACATGATGCTTATGTATTCCTAGCTGTTATTTCAAGGCTCAGCACATCGATGCTGAGTAAAACTGCTGATGCTCATCTACTTACTTCCACTTGGTGAAGCTGAACCCTGTTGCTACACATCTCAGATGAAGTTTATCATGATATTGATATTGCAATATCTATTGCTATTGACCGCACTTTGAGCCCTAAAGTTCATATTTTCAAATTAAGTGTGACAAAAAGAGAAAAGCCTAGGAAAGCCATATGCAGTGCATTCGGAAAGTATTCAGATCCCTTGACTTTTTCCACATATTGTTACGTTACAGCCTTATTCTAAAATTAATTAAATCGTTTTTTTCTCTCATCAACCTAATAAATTAAAAAACTGAAATATAACATTTACATAAGTATCCAGAACCTTTACTCAGTACTTTACTCAGTGGTCCTCTGTAGCTCAGCTGGTAGAGCACAGCGCTTGTAATGCCAGGGTAGTGGGTTTGATCCCCGGGACCACCCATTCACAAAAATGTATACACGCATGACTGTAAGTCACTTTGGATAAAAGCGTCTGCTAAATGGCATATACATATATATATATTTTTTACTTTGTTGAAGCACCTTTGGCAGCGATTAAAGCCTAGAGTCTTCTTGGGTATGAAGCTACAAGCTTGGCACACCTGTATTTGGGGAGTTTCTCCCATTCTTCTCTGCAGATCCTCTCAAGCTCTGTCAGGTTAGATGGGGAGCGTCGCTGCACAGCTATTTTCAGGTCTCTCCAGAGATGTTCAATCGGGTTCAAGTCCGGGCTCTGGCTGGGCCACTCAAGGACATTCAGAGACTTGTCCCGAAGCCACTCCTGCGTTGGCTTGGCTGTGTAATTAGGGTTGTTGTCCTGTTGGAAGGTGAACCTTCGCCCCAGTCTGAGGTCCTGAGCACTCTAGAGCAGGTTTTCATCAAGGATCTCTCTCTACGTTGCTCAGTTCATCTTTCCCTCGATCCTGACTAATCTCCCAGTCCCTGCCGCTGAAAAACATCCCCACAGCATGATGCTGCAACCACCATGCTTCACCGTAGGGATGGTACCAGGTTTCCTCCAGACGTGACGCTTGGCATTCAGGCCAATGAGTTCAATCTTGGTTTCATCAGACCAGAGAATCTTGTTTCTCATGGTCTGAGTCCTATAGGTGCCTTTTGGCAAACTCCAAGCGGGCTGTCATGTGCCTTTTACTGAGGAGTGGCTTCCGTCTGGCCACTCTACCATAAAGGCCTGATTGGTGGAGTGGAAGGTTCTCCCATCTCCACAGAAGAACTCTGGAGCTCTGTCAGAGTGACCATCGGGTTCTTGCTCACCTCCCTGACCAAGGTCCTTCTCCCCCGTTTGCTCAGACAATTCCTTCGACCTCAAGGCTTGGTTTTTGCTCTGTCATGCACTGTCAACTGTGGGACCTTATATAGACAGGTGTGTGCCTTTCCAAATCATGTCCAATCAATTGAATTTACAACAGGTGGACTCCAATTAAGTTGTAGAAACATCTCAAGGATGATCAATGGAAACAGGATGCACTTGAGCTCAATTTCGAGTTTCATAGCAAATAGTCTGAATACTTATGTAAATAAGGTTTGTCTGTTTTTTATTTGTTATAAATTTGCAAACATTTCTAAAAACCTGTTTTCACTTTGTCATTATGGGGTATTGTGTGTAGATTGATAAGGATTTTTTACAAATTAAATCCATTTTAGAGTAAAGCTGTAATGTAACAAAATGTGGAAAAGGTCAAGGGGTCTGAATTCTTTCCGAATGCACTGTACCTGAGTTACAATTCCTCTGTGTGGGTGTCTCAGCTCAGCTCACCCTCTCTCTCTCTCTCTCTCTCTCTCTCTCTCTCTCTCTCTCTCTCTCTCTCTCTCTCTCTCTCTCTCTCTCTCTCTCTCTCTCTCTCTCTCTCTCTCTCTCTCTCTCTCTCTCTCTCTCTCTCTCTGTCTCTGATCAAAGTCTGTTCCAAAGAAGGTGGTAACTTTGGACCATACTCTCATTGGTTGCTTGTGTGGATGTGTGGTCAGGCTCATCAATACATTATGTGTCTGTGCATATTTTACAGTATGCCTGCAATTCTGCATTCTGTAATAATGAGTTGTTATGTTCAAAAGCCTAACTGTATGCTAATTCTATACACTAATATTATCTATCTGCGTTAACTTATACATAGCCTATTCATCTAACCTCCGGTCTCAATAGAGATACACAGTATATTAAATGAAATCCTAATTCAAACTGTCATGTTCCATTGAATATCAGTAGGTACAGCCATCCTCTCCCCTTTGCCCTCTCTCCCCATGTTTCTACTGTGATGTCACAACAAGGAAAGCCTGGCACCAGTTTTGTTTTC